AGCTGTGGTTTTTACCACACCTGTTTTCCTATGGCAAACCTATTATGAAAAAACTATGCCTATTTTTAAAAGAAGAAAAATTGTAATAAAAAACCTCAAATTTCAGTAGGAATGAGGATATAATAGTCAAGTGAATTTAAAGGCAACCCATGTATGTGCCAGTGGAGATGGAAAGAACCTTTACAGAGCCTATTATCTGGTAAAACTTGAGTAGGGAGGGGTTGGAAGAGCATTCTAACAGGAATGTTGTGTTTTGTAGTTGGTGTGTGGGAGCAATTGATGTGCACCCCTTAGAAGCTTGACTGTCAGGGCAGTAGAGGTAACAGAAACCAATGAGCAGACATGGGACTCCTAGGCCAACCTGGCTGATTGTAAAGTTGTAGGAGATAATCGTTGGTCCTTCTCAACCAGAACAAGATGGGGAGAGAAGAGTTCGCCACCCCATACCTCCCCCCCGCTTTGGAGCCTGGGCTGTCCCTGCAGTGGGCTAGTGTGCTCTGGCTCCATGGGCGAGGTATCTGGTCTTAAGATTAGCTCCCTGTGTTTGGATTCCCTGATTTTTAATATAAAAAAAAGTAATATGACATAATTTAAATAAGATTAAAGATTTTCAGATTTTTTTAAGACAAAAATTTTCAGTGAGATCAAACTGGATCAAACAGTATATCAAACTAGATCAAACTATATCTGTAAAACCACTGTTTTTTAGAGTGGGATTAGTATAGAAAGTTTGTTTCATCATTTTAATATTTTTCCTCTCTAATGATTTTTCTTTATTTTTATCTTTATTTTTAATAAGATGTTGCTAGTCATTTACTTTAGTCATAAAGAACTGCTTCTGTTATTTGCAAGCAGGTGTTCTTATATTTCTTTAATTAGAAACTAGTTTATGCCATAAAGAGTAATTAAAAATAAAATGATAGAATCATACAAATTTGATGCTTTCAGCCCCTTTAAATTTTTCATTTATTATGTGACTGTAAAGCAAAATTTTTCAACCTTAGCACTCTTGACATTTGGAGCCAGATAATTCTTTGTTATGCTGGGCTTTCCTGTGCATTGTAAGATGTTTAGCAGCATTTCTGACCTTTATCCACAATATTCTGGGTACACTCCCCAGCCATGAGACAAACAAACAAACAAGTCCCTAAATATCGCCAAATGTCCCCTAATGGGCAAAATTGCCTCCAACAGAGAATCACTGCCATAGTGTATTTACTAAAATTCTTATCATGCTTTTAAGGAGCATAATTTGAAATAAAGCAGTGTGGGGTAGTCACAAAGTCTACAAAATAAAAAAGCTGCTAGGAGGTCTTTTGGATCATTCACCATAAATAAAGATTAAAAATAATAACTACATTTCTTAATCAAAGACTAGGTTATCTAGGTAATTGGTACAGAACAGACCACTGAAAACATTTTAGTGAGCGCCACATAGGGAAATAAAATTAGTTAATAGCTACAGATGTCATTTATAGCTGTTTTTCTTCAATCATTGTTTTAAAATGTGAAGCAGCAGGAGCTGCAGATACTAAAGGACACACGAAGGTCCTTTTCCTATTGTGCTACCCCCAAATCACAGTAATTTTCCATGGCATGCTGAAATAAAAATGTGTTGTACTCCTTTGTCATTATGTCTACAACAGGTGATGCCCAGGGCCCTGCTGGGAATGTGGTTAATCTGGCTTCCTCTCCAAAATTCTTGACATTCTGTATCATGGCAAGCACTCAGCAGGCAAGCCAGTTCAAAGGGTGTTTTTTTGTTTAAACATATGTCAGAGGAAATAAAAAATGTAGTTATTTGAGAGAGAAAGAAAAGCAAAATGATTTCAAATTTCATTAAATTAGGCATGTGGGTGGGAAAAACATATACATGTCTTATCTGCCAACATCTAAATTTAATATGGATTTGAGAACCTCCATGGCACCTGGGTTGAACAGTTGTACAAAAATCTGAATAGAGATTATTGATGGCGCATTCAAGGGCAGACAACAGCTTTAGACTGCTAAAAGTGGGTGTCAAGAAGCAGGTAAGACTGGACCAAATCCAGTATGGTGGGAAAAAACCCTACTCACTAGATCTGCGTTATTTTCCTTTATTCTGTGTCTTATACCTGCTGCAGAGCAAGTCAGGAAGAGGAAAATAGATACATTTTTCCCTGATGCTTTTACTAAGTGAATTGAAATGTCTTTCTTTAAAACCCTGTTTCAAAAAAAAAAAATAGTGTGAAATGTTAATATATGATGGAACGTCAATGGTAAAATCATGGCATGCTATGGTCCTTATGTGACCCTTTTAGCTGTTTTCTATTGTAGATATAATTTGTTTGTCCCTGTAACTGGAAATGTGCTGCAAGTTCCTCCGGCAGTACCTGGCACATAGTAGGCGATGAATAGTTGCCGAATGAATATGTGAGGGCATGTCTTGGCATTGCAATATATACAGTATATCTAATATAAAACTTGTCTCAAAAAAAATAGTGTGAAATGTTAATATATGATGGAATGTCAATGGTAAAATCATGGCATGCTATGGTCCTTATGTGATCCTTTTAGCTGTTTTCTATTGTAGATATAATTTGTCCCTGTACCTGGAAATGTGCTACAAGTTCCTCCAAGCAGTACCTGGCACATAATGGGCAATGAATAGATGCTGAGTGAATATGTGGGAAGGGCATGTCTTGGCATTGCAATATATACAATATATCCAATATAAAACTTTCAAGTTAGTAGAGAAAAACATATAGAAAAGAAGGCTTGTACACAACACCCAAATTGAATTTCAGTTATTAATTCATGGCAATATTGTTTCAACTAAAACCCCATCACTTTTCCCTTCCCATATTATTTTGGAGCAAATTCTAGCAATACATTTTATCCGTAGGTATTTCAATGCCTAGCTCTAAAATACTAGGACTCATCTGTAAACATTAACACAGACCTTTATCATACCTAAAAAAATGAAATAATTCCTGAATGCCATCAGATACTCTGTCACTCTTTAAATTGTCTTCAGTTGTCTCAAAAATATCTTTTTTTTTTTACATATTTTTCTTATAAGTCAGGAATCAAAAGAGGTCCACATATTGCTATTATTTTATATGTTTCTTAAATATCTTGAATCGTTATGTTTCCCCATTTTCTTTTATTTCCCCCTTGTAATTTATTTGTTGAAGAAATGTTTTGTTTTGTTTTTGTTTTGTTTTGCACTGTTTCCCACAGTTTGATGATTGTATCCTAATAGTGTCACTTACTTGAGTATCACTTATGTTCCTGTGTCTCGGGTATTTCCTGTAAACTGGTGATGGGAGCTAAAGACTTGATCAGATTCAGATTCATATCTCTTTTTGGCAAGTCCAAAAAGTAGGTGATGACCACATCATAATGACAGCAGTGTTGACTTTTTGCTCAGTGCCTTGTAAATTAATTTCAGTAACATTTGTTGAGTATTTTCTGTATGCCTAGCAACTGTATTTAAGTAGGCATTGTCATTTAATCGTATATAAAACTCATAATACTCGTACATATCAGTTTCTGTCTCATAACCAGATCTCTTATTAGGGCCAAGTCATCTGAAATGTCTTTCAGACAAACCCCTTAGTATATACCCAGTTGTCATTTATAGGATTTAATTTGGAATGTTGTCTGAATTTTCTCTTGACTGCATTCATTTAAAGCTGTAGAAAAAGATTCCTTGCTTAGAGGCATTTTTAAAAAATATATTAAAAAAAAAAAAAATAAAAAAAAATAAAAAATATATTAATAATGAAGCTCAAAGACCTATCATTTAGCTGCAACTTAATCGTACTGAAGCCTTTTGGTACTGAGAGTCACCATCTGTTAACCTCACAAAAACAGATATCTAAACTGCAAACAGGGCCAAGAGAATGCAGTATTTCCTGGGTCTCTTTTTGCTTTGCTCTCATTGTCTCCTGCAGGTGCTCTGCGTCCCTTTCATCTTTCTGCTTTCTTTGCATGCTCACAGCGCTCACAGTGTCCTCCTGTTGCCCAGTGTGAGAAACTGGCTCGTGATTGTAAAAGCAGAACTAGCTTTTCATTGTTTGTTTACATATCTTTAATTTATTCTGCTCAATTCTCTTCATAGTCCTAAATTCCACAGCTTACAAAACCAGGCCAAGACCTCCAGACTCAAAAAATTAAAGATCTTGACCAACTGACACTTTTGGGGATTAAATTATTTGTATGTGGTTGATGTAAAAAAAAAAAAAGCACCAATTGGCCCAAGTTGCAATTAGATACCAGAGGACTGGGAGCAGAACAATTCAAAGAGGAGCCTATTGTGCAGCTTCACAGGCTGACATGTAGGGATAATTTATTCTTTATATATCTTAACCCTTCTTTACCAGTAATTTTTTTCTTTAATATTTGTAACAGTCTCCTCAAGTTTCCAGAATATCAATTAGATGTCAAGTATTTGGTTGCTTGAATAAAAGGAACATAACGCCTTGGTGAATACAATAGGGTAATAGAATAAATGTGAAGTTTAATAATTATTCTGGTTGCACTTCACTATGAGTGAGATGCTAGACAAATGCCAGAGTCTCTGTTCTCAATTTTTTTTAAACAAAATTACTTTTATCATGATTATCCATGAAGGACTTTAAGATTCTTATCTGAAACAGTCCTCTGTAAATTCCTGGTAAGAAGGAATTTACCTGATCTTGCAGAGTGCCCCGGGTAGCATGGTGCACATGCTTGTGCTTAATAATTAGCTTTCGATGCTGGTGGTATTTGAAAGGTTATACATTTTAAAGGGTATTTTGTTCCCTCTTCCCTTGGCAGGACCTAGGAGCTTCCTTTTCTAAGACCAGTGCTGTTTGGACTGAGTGAAAGTACACTTTGTTCTAGGAGAATTGCCATATGAAAGCCTAGAATATATATTGAGTTCTTCCAAGAAAGGGGTGAAAACTCATGTTCTAGGACAGTGAATGCTGACTTGGTGCTGAATGAATGATTGTTACGTGCTCTCTTATCCACAGGCTCGCTTCTCTTATGTGCGGATGAAATATCTTTTCTTTTCCTGGTTGGCAGTATTTGTTGGAAGCTGGATTATATATGTGCAGTACTCTACCTATACAGAACTCTGCAGAGGAAAGGACTGTAAGAAAATAATAGTAAGTGCTTTATATTTCTTACATATAGAAAAACCCGTATTACTAGTAACACATTCTATTTACTGCTTCTGTACTGTTATTTTCAAAAAGTTAAATTCACCTTTGGCTTGAACTAAACTTGTTAGCATTTTTATATCACTAAGTTAGTGGGAATGCCCCTCACTTTGAGAAACCCAGTATTCAGAAATCTAAATCTATAATACAGAGGGGCGGAGCAACATGGAGGCGAGGAGACGCTGCGAGTAAGATCTCCCATTAAAAAAAGTTAATAGGGAGGAAAAGCGGCAGGTCCCAGTGAGAACCGGGACACGGAAGATAAACGGACGACTCCAGCAAACTGCCCGAAGAAGAAAGTGGCCATAAAAGAGGACCAGAAGGGAGGGAAGCGCAGAACCCTGCTCCCCTCCCCCGCCCACAGAGGCGGCACTCTCCGACCCGCAGAGAGGAGGAAAACAACAAACTAAAACTTCCAACAAGAACAAAGGACGCAGCAAGCGGGACTGTGAGTGGAAAGGAACTATTGCAGCCACCACACCCCGTGAACGGGAGCTGTGGAGAACCCCCGCAGGATCCACCGCGGAGGTGAGCTCCGGGCGCCATTGAAGAGAGCCCCGCCCAGGAGGAGACCAGCACCAGCACACAGCCCCGGCCGCCCGGTAAGCCTGCGCGGAAAGCGGCGCTGGAAAAACAGACGCGGAGCGGGATTGCGCGGGGAAAGCGGTGCGGATTGCGCGGATCGGATCGCAGCTGCCCAGGTCCCCGCGCCTGCGACCTAGGCTTGCGGGGAGACGACCTAGGCTTGCGGGGAGACGCGCGGAGGCCCTCCCGGAGTGAGCAGGAACCAGGCACCCAGGCAGGGGAGCGGGATTCAAAAGGCGCCATTCCCGCGCCACTGATCTGGGCTACAGCCGGCGTCCTGGAACTGAGGGCTTTGGAACTGAGACCCGGGGCACGAAATTAGGGGCGTGGGTTCCCCACGACGGTGGGGCACAAGGCAGACAACAGCACCCCAAAGCCGTTGAGGTGTACCCTACCATCCCTGCTCTGCTCCCTGTCCCACGGGGTGGAAAATCAGCTCCCCAAGGGCTCTAGGAGAGATCTCTGGCGCCACCTAGCGTCTTGAAGCCAGCACAGGCTCCTGAAGGAGCTAGTGGCCAGCTGGGGAGTTAGCCCACGCCGGGCCCCTTCCGAACAAGTAGTCTGAGCCCACAGGGAGAGCGAGCACCCACAGCCGGGGCAGACCAAGTGCGCAGAAGAGTGTGCCTGAGACCGGACGCGCAGGGAGTGTGTCCCACATCACCATTATAGAATAGGGACATTTCTTCAGTAAAGACTACCTGCAGAAGGCTTCCTCAGGAGCCAGAGGTGAGCGGGGGAAGTTCGCCCACGCCAGACCCCCTCTGGCCTGCAGTCCAAGCCCAGAGGGGGAGCAGGAACCCACCGCCGGGGCAGACCAGGCGCACATGGGAGTGTGTCCCCACATCGGCATTTTAGAACAGGGACCTTTCTCCAGTAAAGACTGCTTGAAACTGACAGATGACTCCTGGAGGAACCAGAGGGGAGCAGAGAAGCCCACCCAAGATGCCGGCCAGTCCCAACTACACAGTGTCCCAACGCATACGGCAAATTAGAAAACAGACAGTAGGGAGGAGAAGAACCACACGCAACCTAGCAACTCTCCAGAGAAAAAGCACACCACAAAAAGAAAACCAGCCCCCAGATGGCAACGACAGTAACTTGGAAGAACTTCTGAGCCTTCCAGAAAGAGAATTAAAATTGCCGTGATTAAAAAACTGACAGAAGTCATAAAGGAAAACAATGATAAGGGAAAAATAATCAACGATCAGAAGAATGAAATTGAGTCCCTAAAGAGGGAAGTAAAAGAAATGCAGGAGATCAAAGAATTAATGGAAGAACTAAAGAATTCTGGGAAAAGCAATGAAAGCAGAATTGATGAAATGGAACAACGAATAAGTACTCTTGAAGACACAGAAATAAAAAGAACCAAAACAGAAAAGGAAAGAGAAGTACGAAGGAAAAAGAATGAAGAAAGACTTCGGGAACTATCTGACTCCATGAGGAAAGGAAATATAAGAATTATAGGAATACCAGAAGGAGAGGAGAGAGAAGTAGGAACAGAGAAAATATTCAAAGAGATAATTGAAGAGAACTTCCCAAATGTGAAGGAGGAGCTGAAAATTGATATACAAGAAGCAAGAAGAACACCAAACTTCCACGACGAAAGGAAAAATACAGGAAGACACATAATAGTAAAGCTCCCAAGAATCCAGGACAAGGAAAAAATAATGAAGCTGGCAAGAGGGAAGAAACAGATAACATTCAAAGGAAAGCCAATCAGGCTGACATCAGACTTCTCCGAAGAAACACTACGGGCAAGGAGAGAGTGGAGGGACATAGTCAACAGACTCCAGAAACAGATGCCAACCAAGAATACTCTATCCCGCAAAGCTCTCCTTCCTCTTTGAAGAAAGAATATGGACTTTCCCAGACAAACAGAAACTCCGGAATTTCATTGCAACTAAACCCCCACTCCAAAAAATACTACAAGGAGTCCTAAAGCCAGAACCTCAGAGGGACGAATAACAATGAAAGAAGGCCAAAAAAAAAAAGTTATTAAAAGAATAAATAAATAAAATCAAAGGAAAGACAAACACAATGGCAAATACAGATGTTAACATATCAATATTAACTCTAAATGTAAATGGACTAAACTCTTCAATAAAAAGACACAGAGTTGCAGCCTGGATTAAGAAACAAAACCCAACCTTTTACTGTCTCCAGGAAACACATTTAGCTACAAAAGATAAAAATAGGCTCAAAGTTAAAGGATGGAAAACAATCCTACAAGCAAATGGACCAAAAAAGAAAGCAGGAACAGCTATACTTATATCAGATAAAACAGATTTCAAACTCAAAAAGATAAAAAGAGACCCAATGGTCACTACATTATGATCAAGGGGACAATACTTCAAGAAGAAATAACGCTCATTAACATATACTCACCAAACGAAGGAGCACCAAAATATATCAGACAACTGTTGTCCTCTCTGAAAACAGACATCAGAGAAAACACATACGTAGTGGGAGACTTCAACACACCACTATCAACAATGGATAGATCAACAAGACAAAAAATAAGTAAAGAAACCAAAGCTCTAAATAAGGACCTAGAGCAATTGGGCTTAACAGACATCTATAGAACACTAAACCCCCAAAAAACGGAGTACACATTTTTCTCAAGCGCACACGGATCATTCTCCAGGATCGATCACATACTGGGGCACAAGACAAACATCAACAGATACACCAAGATTGAAATCATATCAACCATCTTTTCTGACCATGAAGGCATCAAACTAGAAATAAACCATAAAAAGAAGGCAAGGAACTTTCCTACCTCATGGAGATTAAAAACCACACTACTGGAAGACCACTGGACTATGAGGAGAAAAGAAGAAATTAAAAAATTTTTGAATTGAATGACAAGGAGGACACCAATATCCTAAATGTATGGGATGCAGCAAAAGCAGTAATAAGAGGAAAATATATAGCAATAGAAGCTCACATCAGAAAAAGAAAGAACTCAAAGAAACAACCTAATCTCGAAGCTCAAAGATCTAGAAAAGAACAACAAAAAAACCCCAAAACCAGTAGAAAAAAGAAATAATAAAACCAAAGCAGAAATAAATGAAATTGAAACTAAAAAAAACAATCCAAAAGATCAATGAAACCAAGAGCTGGTTCTTTGAAAAAATCAATAAAATAGACAACCCCTAGCCAGGCTCACAAAGGAAAAAAGGGAGAAAGCACAAATAAACAGGATCATCAATGAAAGAGGAGAAATCACAACGGACACAGCAGAAATCAAAAGAATAATCAGTAACTACTATGAACAGTTATATGGAAACAAGTTTAACAATCTAGAGGAGATGGACAAATTCCTACAACTCTACAATCACCCAAAGCTAGATAAAGAAGAAATAGAACACCTAAACAGAACCAATTACAATTAGCGAATTGAAATGGTAATCAAAAACCTCCCCAAAAACAAAAGCCCAGGACCTGATGGATTTACAAATGAATTCTACCAAACATTCAGAGACGAATTAGTGCCTATCCTTCACAAACTCTTCCAAAAAATTGAGAAGGAAGGGACAATACCAAACACGTTCTATGAAGCCAACATTACACTAATACCAAAACCGAACAAGGACAACACAAAAAAGGAAAACTACAGGCCAATCTCCCTAATGAACACTGATGCAAAAATCCTCAATAAAATTTTAGCCATCAGAATCCAACAATGTATCCATAAGATAATTCACCACGACCAAGTAGGATTCATTCCAGGGACACAAGGATGGTTTAACATCCGAAAATCAATCAACGTTATCCAACACATCACAAAAGAAATATAAAAACCATATGATAATATCAATAGATGCTGAGAAAGCTTTCGACAAAGTGCAACACCCATTCATGATAAAAGCCCTTGAAATTCTTGGGATACAAGGAACATACCTTAACATCATAAAGGCCATCTATGACAAGCCAACAGCCAGTATCATTCTCAATGGTGAAAAGCTGAAAGCAATTCCATTAAGATCTGGAACAAGACAAGGATGTCCACTCTCACCACTGCTTTTCAATATAATACTGGAAGTCCTAGCCAGGGCAATAAGACAAGAGAAAGACATCCAAGGAATCCAAATAGGAAAAGAAGAAGTCAAACTATCACTATTTGCAGACGATATGATATTATACATAGAGAACCCCAAAAACTCCACAGAAAAGCTAATTCAACTCATCAATCAGTAAAGTGGCAGGATACAAAATCAACACGCAAAAGTCAGTAGCCTTCCTATACACAAACAATAAATCTGAAGAAGAAGAAATCAAAAAAACCATCCCTTTCGTTATTGAAACAAAAAAAAATCAAATATTTGGGAATAAATCTAACAAAAGAGGTAAAGGACCTA